GAGAATGTACCATTCCTTTATTAAAGTTTTATTATGGCCTTTCTCCAAAGAGCTCAGACTGGTACCCCCCTCACAAAACCCTGAAAAAGAAAAAGAGACTGACCCCTGCCCTAGGAGTGCCAGGTGGCCTACTTTACATGGGGCAGTCATCTCTTTGAAAGTGTCCTTTATTTGAAGACGTGGCACCATCCAGGTCAGGTTGAAATATAAATAGCCATCAGAAGGAAGAGCAGGAAGGGACCTTGAAGTTGCCCATCCACCTAGACAGCAGATTGAATGCACACACAGGTCATTTTACCCCTCTGTGGAAAGATGTGTTTCTATTTAAATTGTAGCTATTATTTCTACATTTACATCTCTGTATATGAATTAACATATGCAAATATTGTACAAGACAGGGCAAGATCTTGTCCTCTTTTTTAGTGATGCGAAGTGGCCACTGTTGTCCAAAACAGCCATTACTCCTCATACTTCTGAGATCGGAAGTGCATTAAGTGCTGCCTAGGATATATCTAGATAGAATTTTTGGATTTCTGCATGTCTCTTCCACAGAGCTGACATTCACGGACCACACAGAATTTGTGCTGGTTTCCCTGCTGGTCTAGACAGGAGATGCAAGGTATTGCAAGCAACATGAACTCCTTAGAGCAATGCTGCACAAAATCCTACATAATCTTGGTGCTCCATTAAAAAATAAAAGCATTTCTTTGTGCACCTAGATTTTTAGCACAGAAATAGTGCAGAAGGTTTTTACTAGTAAAAAAATGTATTATTAGCCATGAAGAGGATGTCATGGATAAATGCAGCAATGAAGTATTGGGCCATTAAGCTTTCAAAAAGGTAATCACTTAGGTGATCTCTGAGAATAATTACATCATTCTGATTATAAACGTTCAGGAACAGCTTACAAAGTGGAGGGCCTTTAAAAATGAGTGGAGGGCTTTTGGTGAATTGATTCTCACCAAAAAATACTAGTGATATTTCTCTTTCATTTTTCGGTTGTTCAGCAGACCTACACATTATTACTGAAAGAACCAAATTAAATATATGGCAAAACTAAATTGACTTATTTTTAATGAGCTGTTAGGAGTGTACAGGCATTGTGTAAAAAAGGAAAACCTCTTTTCAATCGATAGACATTCAATAGCGGTTCAACACAGCTGCTGCATGGGAACTGGCTGCCAACTGGGTCTCTGGTGCTGAGGAGGTGGAGACCCAAAAGAGAAGCATAAACTGGTGCTGGCTGGTGTCAGCATAAACATCCCCCAACATATGACATATGATATGTTGGGGCATTTGGGGGGTTTGCACTGGAGGAAGGGATTAACCTTCCTCATGCACTTTTTTCCAGTCCTGCTTGGGCCTCTCAAGAACCTCCTTTTTACAATTTTAGAAAGATATGGGCAGCTGGAAAAGTCACGTGTCATTTGGCCCTTGTTCTTCTTGATGTTGAAGAACACATGCAAATAGCTTCAATCATTCAGATATATGCATTGAGAGCAGGAAGTAATGTCATTAATGGAAAAGAGGGTGGTTGGTACCAGCTGGGGAACCTCTGGCCCATGGGTCAAGTTTGGCTTGCCACACTGACCCCTTTGGATAGTGCAGTGTTAGCTGAGAGTCCTCCTTGCCTCTGTTAAGTTCTAGTAATTTTCTTACGTGCATGAATAAGGTATGGACAACATATTCTGTTTTTTCTTGAAGATATGGAATAGAACATACTTCTATCTTAGAGTATATTGCTAAGGATCCACTGTTGTGTTCCCTAGAAATATACCGAATTAGATACACCCAGTTGTACGGCAAAACAGTGCTCAGGCCTTCTCTTGTAGGACTGTAGAGTCAGTAATGCTGCCAACAACTCCCATGGCTCCTCTGCTCCTTGTGATCTCTTATTTCGCTTTGGGAGCTCCACTTCATTTGCTTTGTTAGCCAAGAGACAGAGATGATTTTTCCATGGAGCAGCCTTACTGGCCTAGCTGGCACGGATCTCACAGTCTGTGCTTTACTTCAGCAAGTAGGATTCCAGTGAAGAAGATCTGTCAGCAGAGTGGAATCTGGCTGCCATTCAGAACTCTGTGGTCATAGCAATTTATATGTTTTGAACTGAGGCCAATGAGGAAGTGTGGCTTTCCCCCATCATCTTTCCATTTATGAATTATGAAAGGCGGAGCATGTCCTAGACTGAAATCGTGTGTGTTCCAGTAATTCGTGATCCAGCTGTCAATTTGGATAACAGTCTGCTTTGACAGTCGTTAAAGGTTATCTGTAGCGCATTCTGTGCATACATAATTGCAAGTAATGTCAGTAATACCTTAGTATTATTGTATTGGAAATTTGGTTGCAGATTTGATAGATGTGATAATTAGTACCTATTTTTGTGATATTTCCATCATTTAGTATTGTATGTAATTTTTGTGCAGGGCCCTTGGTAACTCTCTCTCTCTCTCTCTTATCTATATTTTTTTTAAAAAATTAAAAAAGAAAGCTCAGACTTGAGATATTCTAACAGGTCAATTACAAGATAAGGAAGTCATGGATGTTAGCTGATTTATATCCTGATGATATGACATGACATGTACAGTTAGCATCTTTTGGGGAAGTGGGATTAGCGTCCTTCCTGCTGGCTCTGCCATCTACCATTAAGAACTTTAGAGGATTGCTGATGCTTTGCACATGCGCAGAATCTGTTCAGAAGAGAGTGGGCTGGATAGGAACAAAAGCAGCAGGCATGGTATCAATCCCCCACAAAGGATTTTTTAACACCACACATAGCTAAACTATAGAAGCTCCAGAAATAGTGATGGTCACCAACTTGGATGGTTCTGGAAGAGGAGTATTAGACAGATTCATGAGGAATATGGCTGTGAGTGGCTACTAGTCCTGATGGCTCTGTGCTGGAGGCTACCTACTGGATTAGAGGTAGCATGCCTCTGAATACCAGTTGCTCGGGAATGCCAGCGCAAGAGGGTTATTGCCTCATATCCTGCTCATGGGCTTCCCTAGGCATCTGGTTGACTGCTGTGAGCACGCTTCATTTGTTAGACCTCCTACCTGACCCAGCAGGAACTTCATATGTTCTTCTATGGAAGAATGAACAGAAGGGTTTCTGTACTTTCTATCCTCGATAGAAAACAGCTGCTTTATTCTGGGATAACAGATCTTTCAACACAAAAGTCATGTGAGTACTCTAAGGCAAAGTGCAAAGTAAACGGCAATTGCTTAATGGGTGAATGTGAGCATAACACATTTGTCCTCCTGAGGGAAAGATAAATGCTAAGAGTTCCAGGTTTCACCTGAGGCCTGTTGTTTTGTGTTTTTTTTCTCAAGTGCAGGCCAACCTGCAACTCACACTGAAGCAGAGAGCTGTTAATGAGAGCTGTTTTATTAACACTTTCCTTTGGTCTCTTTGCTTATAGGTAGCTGGTTGCACAGAATGCATTTATTCCTAATCCCTGAAGTGTGAGCATCCAGTAGTTCCTAGTTTCAGTGTTCCTTTTGTGAGAGATGTCTGCAACTCGAGGCAATGGGGAGCACTGGAAGTCCTTGGAGTCTGTGGGGATTAGCCGTAAGGAGCTGGCTCTTGCAGAAGCCCTGCAGATGGAGTATGATGCCCTGTCCCGCCTGAGGCAGGACAAGGAGGAGAGTCAAGCAAAGCAAAATGCAGACCAACCTCTCATTTCCTGGGATGATCCTATTCTGAACTACAGCAAGCCTGCTGTTAAGCATGACTGCCACAATATCAAGGTCATGAGAGGTCTCTCTGGCTCTGACCCCACCCTCAATTACAACGCCCTCTCTGGTCAGGAGGTTACAAGAGCTTTTGGGACCAACCACACTACCTCGTCCAGTCAACTGCCTGAGCCAGACAGCCAGCCTTGGTTGAAGGAACCTCTCTCCAGTGACTACTTGTACATCTTTGACAGCACAGAGGGGGACTTCCTCGCTGAACCCCTCAATAGCACATCCCACCAGAACAGTAGTGGCAGCAGCTCCCCCAAGAAGCTTTCTCCTCCTCCGTTGCCGCCTCGCGTCGCCATCTGGAATGCCTCAGAAGTGAATCAAGCTTCCTTCAAAGGGTCCCAACCCAATGACATCAACATGTTCTCCTCATCCCATGCCAGGACTGATGGGAAATTGCTGGACCGCAGAATCTCAGAGGAGGATCCGTACAGCACAGTGGACTATGATGGAATCAATGATGCTATCACACGGCTCAACCTCAAGTCCACTTATGAAGCTGACCTTTTGAGAGAAGCTACATGGAGCTGGAAGGAAGGCCGAAGTATATTTGAAAAAGAAAGCAGTGGGAAGCCAGTTGCTCGTAGCAAGACTATGCCACCTCAAGTCCCTCCCAGGACCTATGTTGCTAGACCTGGTGGACGGAAGAATGCTGCACTCAATAAGAATCGGAGGATATCGGCAGATCCGGTAAGCCCATTTTTATGTAATGAAAATTATGCAGATATCACGAGCTCAAGTCCATCTGCCAAGGAATGTAAACAAGTATAAAGTAATGCCTATCGGGGCAAAATCTCAGCTTCAAATATAGGCTGATAGGATCTGAGCTAGCACTGACTGAGCGAGAAAGGGATCTTGGAGTTGTGGTGGACAGCTCAATGGAAATGTCCAGGCAGTGCGCACCTTCTGCGAAAAAGGCAAGCTCCATGTTAGGCATCATTAGGAAGAGTATTGAAAATAAAACTGCCAAGTTTGTATTTCCCTTATAAAAATCGTTGTGCAACTGCAGTTGGAATATTGTGTATAGTTCTGGTTGCCACACCTGAAAAAGGACATTACTAAGTTAGAAAAAGCTCAGAGAAGGGCAACTGACATGATGAAGGAGTTGGAGCAACTCCCCTGGCAGAAATAGATATTTGTTTATTCATTCATACATACGTACGTACGTACAGGCTGCCTATAACTGCCAAAAGGCCTTCCTAGGCGACTTACAAGAACTTGGATTGTTTTGCTTAGAAAAAGGGTGAATAAGGAAAGAGATGATTGAGGTGTTTAAAATTATGCATGGTGTGGAGAATGTAGAGTAGAAGAAATTTTTCTCCCTCTCTCCTAACACTTGAATCTGGGGTGCATGCAGGAAGCTGATTGGTGGGAGATCTGGGACACCGAAAAGGAAGTACTTTTTCCCTGCCACAGGAAGTAGTGATGGCCACCAATTTGGATGGCCTTAAAAGGGGAAGAACAAATTCCCATGTGTAACTTCCATTATCAGGGGCAGTATGCCTGCATAAGCGAGTTGCTAAGGAGGTTGGGCAGGAGCAGGTCTTGCAGTCATCCTGCTCGAGGTATCCTGTGGGCAGCTGGTTTGCCGCTGTGTGTAGAGAGTGCTGGATGAGAGGAACCTCTGGTCTGATCAAGCATGGCTTTTCTTGTGTTCCTACGATCCACATAATTTTCTTAAGGTTCTAAACCACCCTTCCAAATTTGGTGCCTTCCAGAAGTTTTGGACTACAGCTTCCATCACATCCTGCTATTGTCTATGCTGACTGGGGTGATGGGAGTTGTAGCCTAAAACATTTGAAGGGTATTGTAATTAGGAAGGCTGTTCTGTTATCTTCAAATAGAAGATTCCATCAAATAAGGAATCTTCTGCCATGCACTCAAATATAGGATTGTCCTTTGTAGAATCTGACACCTGGCCACCCTAAACTTTGAGACAAAAAGCCCTCCTCCCTTTTTTTCTCACCACAATAAAAGAAAACACAACCCTTGTCAAAAAAACAACAGCTAAAAGCCACCTCTTCTGGGAGCAGCCTCTTATTTTGTTTATACCAGAAATCAGCAACCCCAGTAATTCACACTCGCACAACAGGTCTGTTGCAATCATAGCGGCTGTTGGCACAGAACAGAAGAATCACGAGCTCCTTGTCAATAAATAAGGTAATAAATCTTGCCTTCATACAGATTAACATGTTGTTTAAGCCCAGCTGCAGCTACAGCTGTAATGCTGCCTTTGCATGCCAACAAAGCTCCCATCGAAGGAGCATTCGGTGTCTCACTTGCACCTTGCCTGTCCTGAAACTTCCTGCCATACACCAGCTGCCGTGATGACCTGCTGCAGAAAGGAAGGGCTAGTCTGTAGTAGGGCTGTCGTGCTATTTATATGATCCACACAACAGCAGTCCAAAGGCAGCGTGTGCAGTAAAAAGGTTTTCCCAAAAGACATGTGCCCATCCTGGCTGTCAGAGCTCCAGTTTCCCAGAAGCAACAGCTTCTGAAATGTCACACGGCCCACAGAAAACGAACAACCAGCAAGAAAGGAACAGTGTGACAGTCTTGTTTCCTATTAGTATGCGAGGATCAGAAATACTTCCTGCAGTGCATCGTCGCTTTTTCTCCTCAGCTCTTCTAGTAGGAATTCTCCACCCTTTTGCTACATAGCAGGATTCTCAGCAAAAGCGTGGGGACACCAGAACATTCTGGGCTGGACACTGGGGATGGTCTTTACCCACTGATCTGGGGTTGGGACTTGGTCATGGCATAGTTTTTGGATATAAGAGTGGATGACAAATACTTCTGGAATCTAAAGGATATAAATGCAAACAAGTTTTCCAGCATTGCTAAAGTCCCCGGGAGACATGTTGTCAGAAGCTGATGGCAGAAGTTATGTAAGTTACTCTCTGCTTTTTGCTGCATAAGAAACGATTACAGGACAGCATTAGAATGGTGCTTAGTGTCTGCTGTGTTCTGTCCTTTTCCTTTTTTTTCTTTCTTCCCATTCCTCAAACTACTGGGTGGGTTAATTGCTATGACACTGGGATCTTTGTTTGCTTTGAAGGAGTGAATGGAGGCACCCATGTGTTCACTCAGTTTGGCCAGGCTTGCCATTTAGCATGTTTTTATCCACACTTATTCTACTGTGGAATTTGGTGAAAGCAAAATAAAATGTTCTGAGACACAGGCTTTAAGTCAGTCAATCAATCAATCAAGCTGCACTTCATTTTTAAAATGTGCATTATTTCCATTATTATGAACTCTAAGCATGACAACAAATGCTTTAGGTGAGGTTGACACATACCAGGGTGACTGCTTATACACTTCAGAGAGAGGAACTGCATCACCAAACAAGTGGACAAAGAGGGGGCATGGGTTTACATAACATTTGCATATGCTATTTTATATATATAAATGCCAATTTAGAAATAATAATAATAACAACACTAATAATAAAAATACAGTACATTTCACCGTAGTGGGGAAGGCTCAACAAGATGACCTGACTGCTTGCTCAGTCTGCTGCCCGGGTCCAACTTTAGAATCCCCACTTTCCCTTTATCTTTCAGATGCCCCTATTCAAATATGCCACATAAACCTCCACTTCCTCTGCCCTGTATAAATTCAGCGTTACATCCTTGATTAAGTTTTAGATTAAGACCTTGCTATTGGTTTGGATGGCAAATCACTGTCCCTGGCTTTGCTCGGATGCCTTCTTAATTTTTTTCCATGTGAGTTGCCCAAGCGGTAATACTTCGGGTTCCATTCCCTCCCTTTTAGAGTCTTTAGTAAGTTAAAGCTATGAATAAGGAATGAACACATCTTGTTTCTGATGCACATCCATGTAAATGTATGGATTGGATGTATGGATGAACTGTAAGGCATGAGACAGCTCACTCATATTGTAGTTGCTGGAATCTATTTGGAACTCTGTCTTCTTTATGGTATCCCCTGCCCCCTTGGTCCTGGAGTAGCCAAGTACACAGGAGGACAGGGATCCTGCACCTCTCACAGTGGTGCAGTAGAAGGATTTTTGACAGGTATAGTTTGCATGACAAGCACAATGAACCTTAAAAGACCCCTCCAGGCTTTTAGTTTCATGGGAGAAGGAACACAACATTTAAAACAGAGGTGAGCAACTTGTGGCCCTCCAGATATTTTGGTATGCAACTCCTCACAATTGGCTGTGTTGGTTGGGGCTGATGAGCTTTGTAGAAAACATCTGAAGGGCAATAAGTTAGCCCCTCCTGATTTAGAACATAGGAAGCTTCCTTGTTTCAGAACTGTCTGACTGTATTCATACATCATGGTAAATCTTGGTTTAGTGTGACATGCACAAGGCAGAATGCATCTGAGATAGCCTCAGGCTCACGTGGTTCACATTTTCTTTCCTCCTGCCCATCTGGGAAGAGACTTAAGCAGTGTATTCTCTTCACTGTCACTGAAGCTCCATTGGTTGTTAGGAGCAAACCAGACACCATGGCTTAAAACAAACCCTAACAAGCTTGGTTCATAACCCATAGTTTAAAGTTGGCTTATTTTGAAACTGATTAAAATGTGTTAACCATGGTTTACTATGATGCATAAACCAGACCAATTTGTCTGTCTAGCGTAGCACTGTCTATTTTCATTGGGAGTGACATAACAGGTTCATGGAGAGAGGCCTTTCCACCATCTGCCACCTGCTTCTTTTTTAAAAATGAAAATGTCAGGGACTGAACTTGAGACCTTTTGCATACAAAATATATACTTTTCCTCAACCGCTGAGCTATGAGTCTTCCCAATGGTAGTGCTGATCTTTCAGCAATATATAATTGCATTTTGGAGAGGGGTAGTGGGAAAGCTGGGGTTGTACATGGATCTCTATATTTTTGTTTGCAAAATGTTGAAAGATATGCTATTCAGAAAGGTCTTTCTTTTCTAGGGAGTGATTGATGAAGTGCTAGACAATTTGTGGAATTCTGTTTAGCATATTTTTGCAGTATGAATTATTGCTGAACATTTATCTAATCACTGCTTCAATGTTATTTTTGTAATACGTGCCAAAGTGGATATTTTAAGCTGAGAACTGGTGGAGAAAGTGCTGTAGCTAAACTAATATCAGCTAACTTATTAAAAAATGTTGAAATAGGAAAACACTCTTTCTTAAAGCCTTAAATAGATAAACATTCACTTCTGCAGAACAGCAGTTTGTTTAAAAGGAACATGCAGCTGCTGATGCTTTCAAAGAAAAGGACATACTTTAAAAATATGAGGGAGTTTTGGCTGTGGGTCAGTATAGAAATGCAATAAATAAATAAATGTATACTACTTCAAAGTCTACCATGACAAATCTAATAATAGCTAAATATATGACAGGCCAGTCTTTATTTCTAGTAACTTTCATGCCGTGAATTGAATTATTTTGTTATAAAAAGCTTTGGTAATATGTCCCACAAATGTTTATTATATGCTGACTACATTATCCATCAAAAACAGTCCGGGTTCTTCAACAGACAAATCTAATAAATAAATAACATTACTCTATAACCAAGCTTTCTGTCTTCAACGCTTTCTATGCTCTCTTCAGACATGGATTATTCCTACATGCATTATTCTCCCACACTCCCATTTGTTTGGCTAATTTGGACCGAGGCTGCTCCTGTTTGTCAGTTTGATTGCCAGTTTCTTTATCTGTGATTTCTTTATGTACGTTCTCCATAGTCACTGCTCTTTGTTTCTGAATCATTCCATTTAGTCTTAACTACATACATTTATTTGCCTTTATAGTTTGCACCAGTGTGGTCTAAAGAGGCAGAATATCTACAACAACCTTCCCCAAACTGTTGCTATCCAAGTGTGTTGAACTACAACTCCCATCATCCCAAGCCAGTATGGTCATTATTTTGCTGACAGTATTTTCTTCTTGCTTGTTTGATATTAAGAAAAGTAGTCTAAGTAGTCCAAATGATCTATATTTATTTATATTCCTATAATGAACTAATTACAATTGTCAACAAAATAACTGGTCTATCTATACTACAATTAATATAATATCAAAAGGTGGAAAATGCAGCCCATTGTCGAGTGTGTTTGTGTGTGTGTGTGTGTGTGAGAAATAAAAAACCAAACCACATTGAAGAAACAGCTGTTTGTGCTTTCGGTACTTTTATGTCAGAGTGGATGCATGGGAACAGGGCAAAAAGATACTTGATAAAGCATGTTCCTTTTCATGTGGTTAGCATATAACTCCTGCCATTCAGAGTCCGTAGTAGAGTCTGGTTCCGCAATTTTATACAGCTTGTCTATCTCTCTGGAGGCTCATTCAGAGAAGTGATTCATATTTATTTTTTTTAAAGTTTTGTATCCTGCCCTTTTCAGTGTCTTAGGTTGGCAGGAAAATAGTGGAAATATCAAATATATGTAGGGTGGAACTCCTGAACTCACATGCTCAGCTTCCATCAGAATTGCCGTCTTGGTAGAACTCTAGGCAAGGTAGCTGTAGGTGAGGGGTGGGCAAGTTGTAGCCCTCCAGTTGCTTTGGTTACAGTGCCCATCAGGCTTAGCCAGCATAGTCAATGGTGAGGAATGATGGGAGCTGTAGGCAAAGCCTGCGGAAGGTCACAAGTTACCCACTGCTCACCTGTAGGCCATACCAGTTTATAGTATATCTCTGGTATGCAAGATATATCCTGCTTTGTTTAAGGCAGGAATAATAGTAAAGCCATTTGAAGCAGTGAGGAGGTCTTAGGGAAACAGTTCTCTCCATATCCGTGTGTGAAGGATTGAAAGTCAAGTGCTACCCCATTACCCTAAACGTGTTAGCTCCAAAACAATAATCCCAGCTCACTTAACCCACATTTATCACCCCTCCACAAAGCAAAGCTCGTATGGCCATGCTGGACCAAGATGAAAGGAGGACATGTGAAGAAACTGTATCATATCTGCTTCACTATGTGCAGAGCTCTGCCTGGTCAGTCTACATCCTCAGTATCTCTGTCTAGCTGATATCTCTTTGTATCTATGGGACATAGTCTCCGTGGTTTGCACCCAAGGGAGAGAACAGCCTGAGGGAAAGGCACTTCTTCTTACATGGGGGGTCCCAATTGGAGGCTCATTTCTCTCTTAGCTACAGCCCCCACTTGGGTTACATACTTTGCCATGCCTGATGGAGCCGGGAGTGAGGTTACAGCAAGGATGTTGGATCTTTTGAGCTAAAGAGCTGAATTCAAATTTCAGTGAAGCTCTTAGGAGTTGCATCTCAGCGGTGGGTGCTGGTTGAAAGCACTCCAGTTCGTTTTATTTTAAAGTTCTTGTTGCAAGTAAGCAAGCTGAGGCATTTAAGCCTTGTGGGAAACTACCAAACAAACAGCAGGTAGGGAAAGGGGTGTGTGGACAGGGGGAAAGGGACATGACTACCTGCAGGTAGGATGAGTTTGGCCTGCAGGATTGAGATTCAGCACCCCAGGTTACAGTATGGAAGAACAGTGAAAAGAAAAGAAAAAGAAAACTGTTCCAAGAGCAGAGCTTTATTTATACTGGTTGCAACCCAAGTGGATAAATTGGGTTATGGAACTAGATGGCCTAATATTGATGATTTAATTACAGTGTATCTATATTGTTCCACATCCAAACAGATTCTGGAGCAGTGAACAGGATAAGGGTAAAACAAATACAAGAATAAAAACAATGCATTAGAAATATTTAAAAACAAAATAATATTTATAACCATGGCTGGTCAGCAAGAAAAAGCTCTTAGAACAGCATTTTCTTTAGTAGGCATTGAAAACAGCACAGGCAGGGAGTTCCATCAAAATGGGGCTACTGCATTGAAGGTTCTTCTCCCTGGAGGACTCCAGTTGAGCTTTGGGTCTGGGTGGATCCACCAGGAGAATGTCCTCTGCTGACCTCAGTGGCAGGCAGGTTGTTACTAGAGAAGGTGCTCTCTCAGATATCACTGGTCCTACATACTTTAGGGTTTTATACACTGTACTAAAACCTTAAACCTGGCCTGGTAGCAAATCATTATCCTCTTAAGAACCTTTCCTTTTTTTAAAAAAAAGTGCATTTGTCACCTGGTGGTAGTTATTAAGGACTGTTGGGTCCAGGGTGTGTTTTTCCAGGTGTGGTTGTGCTGCTTGCTCCTTGAAGGCAACAGAAACAGCCCCTTCACACAAAGATGAGTTTGCCACACCCTGGCCCCACACTGGTAGACCACCTTGGCAGATGGAATGCATATGGAGCAGCAATTCCTCAATGGTGTTGTCTTCATTCTGATGACTTTGTTTGCAGGCCACTTCTCGACATCATCCTGTAGCCAATGGCTATGAGCTCTTCGAGGTTTCAGAGGAGAAAGATGAAGAGGTTGCTGCCTTCTGCCATATGCTGGATGTGTAAGTACTAGTTTAAGCTAAAAAAGGGCTCATCTTCCAAGGTTTTCTATTGGCTGAATGTGTGTGTGTATGTGAGTGTGCTTAACTGCCATGACCAATTAATTATTGTTGTTGATTAATCCTTGGAAACAGGGGATGAGGAGGGGGAAATCCTCTTTGTCCCTAGAGTTTATGTTATACTGTGTTTAAGCAGTGGCTTCAGTGGAAAGGGTCTAAGCTTGCAATAGATTGGATGAAGATGAATCTATCTAGGATTATAATTCCTGGCATGGCTCTCAGTAAAACAGCAGCAACAGCAGGCAGAGGAAGTATTTCTCCTGGGCTCTGTAAGCAAAAGATTTGAGGAGGTACACTGCAATCTAGTGTATTGCAGAAGCAGCTCAAACCAGCACAGAGTTTTAGTCTGTTAGTGTACCTAAGAATGAACACCATTCTAAAGGGAGACTTCTCTGTCTCTAGGCCTTGTATTTCATTCACATTATTTCTTTCCTTGATAGACATGTCCACAAATAGTTGGAAAATTCAAAGTCCATTTAGATGGGACTCTTGGATACTGTTGAAGGTCCATGACACTTTACAGAAGCTTGACTGACATTAACATCTGAAGGGCACTATATGGGGGGAGAAAACAAGAGGACCACTTATGGGGGGAGAATACAAGAGGACCACTTACAAAGACCTTGATTAAAAAATGCCTCCTTAATTATATATAAAGAAAGGGAAAAGATAAATTACTAGAGGGAACAAGCATAAGATGGCAATGGAAACAAATTGTATTCATCCTGTTTAATCCACAGATTGAGATCTGGCTACAGTACAAAGGATTACTCTCTTACTGGTTATGTCTGGAGCAGTGTCAACCTCAGCCCTGAACACCTTGGCCACGGAATCAGCTTGAAAGTGACTGTGGTTTATGACAGCCTACAGGAGCCTCTCACCTTCACCTGTGACTGTAAGTTGTTGGCTTGCACTGGAAAGCCCCTTCCTCTTGTATAGATACATGTTCCTCTTCATTGTAACGAAACAACGGCTGTCAGTTGTACCTTAGAATACCACTGTAGTCTCTTCTGAAACAGGCAGCCAGGGCCCAACCAGATGCTACTTAATTTGCAAGAATACAATAAATGTGCACGAGTTTAGTTATGTGTAAATGGATTAGGCTTCAATTAGGATTAGGGTAGACTCTTTTTAATTTTGCCTTTGGTATTAAATTTATTCTTTGGTATATTTCACTATCTCTCTTTTAATGTTTATATAAACCTTATGTGATTGATTGACAGTTGTCCATTTAAGCATTGTAAACATTGGCCTTCTCTCGTGTGAACAGTGTCTCATTCATGTACTTCATTTGTTTAATGAAATTCAGATTTGTACAATTAGTTCAGCTTGACTTTGTGCGATATCTGAACAAACCTAATTGAGTTAAAGCAGATTTCTTCTTTTCAGTGTAACTAGGAAGATTAATGAAACAGAGGATTTGCTATTTTCTTTTCATTAATTTCAAAACTGCTTTTTTTCCTTCTCTGCATTCAGTCCAAAGTCTGTATGCAAATGATCAATCCAAAGTCTGTATGCAGAAGAGAAAAGCACTTACATGCAATGTCACAATATGAGCTGAAGCCTTAAGAGCGTAAGAGTTACGCTGAATCAGACTGAAGGTCCAGCATTCTGTTCACACAGAGGCCAAACAGCTGACTTTGGGAAACCCACATGAAGGACATGAGCGCAACACCACCCTCCCACCCATGTTCCCCAGTAATTGGTGTGCATAGGCATGCTACTTCTAATACCAGGGATAGCCTTTAGCCACCAACACTAGTAGATTCTTCTCATCCAGGAATTTGTCTCATCCTCATTTAGAGCTATTTAAATTGGTGACCGCTGCTACATCTTGTGGTAGAGGAGTCCATAGTTTAACAATATAAGTTAACCAGACCTTTCATTAAGGAAGATATATGTTGGTTCCGCTTCATATTACAGATCAAAAAAGTACTTTACCCCTTGATGAATATTAAATGGGAATTCTCATGAACTTTGAGTGACAGTTGTCCATATTAATCAGGTCAACTTCCTAAGATTGATCTGGTCTGTGGTTTCACTTCCATACTTTAGTCAGCTAGAATTATTAACTTTGCTGCAGTTGCTGGGCATTTGTGTCCTGATGGTGGCATGCTGTGCTCTGATTTGTACATATTAATAGTTGGTGGTGGCAGAAGGAAGAATGTGTACCACTATCAGATGGATTGGCCTTGTAGATTTATAGCAAACGTCTGGACTTGATGCCCTTTTCTTCCCATCTTACTCTAGGTATAAAATTTGCCTGACTGTGTAGGTTTTCTGACAAGCCCATCTCTGCAATTAGCAAAGATAGTGTGTTGGTCTTTTTCCAGGGCAACATTTTCAACCTTTTCAAGTCAATCATTGCCCTTCAATCCCACCTTGTAACACAGCAACCATTCCTTGAAGAGCAGTCCTGTGGTCCACAGGCAGCATCCCAGTGGACACAGGCTTGTGTGAGAAACTCCCTCTGAAGCTATAGATAGAACTCTAATCTCAGGAAGATTTTCCCAAGGTTGGAGCCCTCGGTCTGGCTTTGCTCATACATTGCAAAAGTTTCCATCGTAACTCTCTCTTTAAGATGGGAACGCATAGGCAGAGGGGAGCAGGTATTTTTGGTGTATGCCAGTGAACAGGGAGGGGGTGACTGAAAATCTGAGGGATCCTAAGCCCTCCCAGTATCCAGCCCAGCCCATGTCCCTGAGAAATGTTTAGATATGCTCAAGAGTGCCAGTACATGCTCCTTATCCATGGCCAGCAACCATGGCAATAGTATGAAATAATATTTCCATTATTGGAGAAAGAAAACATGGTAAGCCCCATCTCTCTTTGGAAAGAAGGGAGCACTTTTATGCCATTTGAGAGTGTAGGATTCCCTCTTTTCGATTCTTGGCAATATTTTGCCTTGCTGTGGCAGGAGGGATATATAACCTGGATCTGAAACAAAGAAAAAAGCAGTGGAGGAAACATGAATTTTTAGTGATGCCAGAGGAAGTGAGTCTACTGAGTCATTTAGGGCAAGGAAAGGACAATGATGGAGCTTTCCAGAGAATGTTGTCTTAATACTCATCATGCTGTGTCTGGTTTCTCTCTTCCTCATAGGTTCCTCAACAGTAGACTTGCTTATCTATCAGACACTGTGTTATACTCATGATGAATTGCGTGGCATCGATGTGGATGATTTTGTACTCAAACTGTGTGGCCTGGAGGAATTTCTGCAAAAGTGAGTGAGTGGGAAACACTTGTGCAACCCTGGCTCCAACCCTAAATCTACACTTGCAATTCAGAGGGGCTTACTTCTGAGTTTGCATGTTTGAGATTGTGCAGTTCAACAGCTTCCCTAGCTTTTTGCCCCTGTTGGGCATTCTAAGCCACATAGTCTTGTGTGTATTGGAGAAATACAAAGCAAAAGATCCTGCTGTTTGGGAGGATGGTTTACAATAGAGAGCTGTCCAAAGGGCCCTAAATCTTTACCTTTGGTCTGATGTTGATATCTAAGCTATTTCCACATTTCCTTGAGCCCCTTAAAATGTTTGTTTCGCGGACCCTTCTCTGATCTTCCAAATCACTTATCTCCTCACAGAATGATGTGTTAAGCCAGCCTCCTCCATCTGGGTGCCTTCCAGATGTATTAGACTACAATTTCTATCATTCCCAGACATCTAGTAGTCATACTGGCTGAAGATAATCAGTTGTAGATATGCACATTAAGAAGTCTCCGGGTTGGAAAGACTATATGGTAGACTTCCACTCTTCTGCCTCCCACAGCTGCTAAAAACTGCCTTGAAAGGTGCTGTGCACATTTGTTAAGCCAATCAATGAATCAGTGGGTCACTCCCTGCTGTATTTGTCAATATGGCATTAATCACAATTACACAGCTTTCATTCTGAGTACTTCTGTGACATGCATATGCTGTGTATAAAATTTCCATCAGTTTACTCATAGCTTGGCACACAAGGTACATATGTCTTCCAGAGTGTGATGTGAATGAATAAATGGGGTAATTTTAGCACCTACAAGGAGCATGGCTGGGCACATGTGCATTGATTAATTTCTAATTTCTTAAATCACTGAGATCATCTTGCCAAGATAGCCCCTCTGGAGGCCTCCCTTGGCCACAGAAGATATGACTAAAATCCTCTTGACTGCATATTCCTTGAAACTCTGATTTAGTGGAAGAATTCTTTCAAGCGTGAGGATGCTGCCAAGTAAAGCTCCTCAGAGGATAGTGATACTTAATGAATTGACAAATGAGTTCTTATTTCTTAAAAAAGTTTGTCTTCAACTTGTGCTATGAAATTTGAACAACTGGTCATAAATGGAGATATCTGTAAAGATGCACCCTTGAATAGAAGGTGTGGTTGTCTAATGCTTCCATTGTAGCCATCAAACATACATAGTTAGAAAGTGCACCAGGTTGCCCTAAATGGACTGTGTTTGAAAGGGAAGAGTGTTTACTGTCATGATTCTGTTTCCAAGGGCTGTCAAGAGAGCTGACAAATAATGATGGCGTACGGTATGATGTGGCACTAGGATGAGAGCTGCTGTAGGCCCTTTATGTACCCTTCTGCTTCTAGCAAGCCATGGTGTGTTGAAACCATCGGGGTGACTCTCTGTTGCATAGGAGCTTGTGCCATCTTTTCTGGTCTCCTTTTCCTTCTCTGGAACTGTGCCTTTTAGGTGGGTGACATCTTCCCTGGAAAAATAATCATGGTACCAGCTGCTTCCAGGAGAAAAAGTAATAAACCGTGCTCATTGACTGACTATTGACCAACTTACTGGAAGCAGTTAAACTTGACCAGCCCTTCTTGACCATGGAGTGCTGCATTCCCACCAGACAAATTATTCATTGATGTTTGGATACATCGAAAGCAGCTTGTAGTTTTGAAGTTAAGAGTTTGTGGTCCAGTTACAGCGACTGGGAATGCAAACTGGCAACTGCAAACTGATTATTACTGGGACTGGCTTGTTAGGGAATAGGCTTTAAAACCACAGAACCCTCTGCAGAGAACCAGAGAGAGTGAGAGCGAGCGAGCGCTAGATGATGTATATGCACACTGATAACCAAATCAAGTGGAAAAATCTCCCAGGTTGATTTTGGGGTTTACACATGAAAGTTTTAAGTCTTGAGGCTATTTCCTGATCTTCTCTTGCCCTGGCAGTGAGAAGAACTGGCTTCAGCCACAGTCTGACTTTCTTAGCATTAATGAAAGGCGGTAAGTGCGTTATGTGTATGTGTGCCTAAACAGCTCAGAGATCTAAGTATATCCCTTTTGGCACTGCTAGATCTGTTAACACCTTTCAGCATGCACTGTGTGTACAGCAAATCTCTTGTGGCTGCAGTGGACTTGAATGGCTGGCCGCCTGCGGAAAGAACAGAGACAGCCACGGCAGGGGAACATGGGGCAAGAATGTTCGAGACCTGAAGACAGATGATTAGTAGAGGCTGTTACAATATTTCTTACTCGCTTTTTACCATTTAAAAATTATTTTTAAACAGTGCTGTTGTACCATCAACAGAAAGATCTCCATTCCTTTTATGTAACATGCCTTAACTAAAAGCAGAAGCAAGAAAATTGTATCAGATGAGAAAAAGTTGCACTGCCAACCTTAGAACCCACAGGCGCCTCCTGTTTTGTTTCTCCTTCCAAAGGGATCTGGCACAGTATTTATGGAAAGGAAAAAGTTATGGTCTGTATTGTATGGAAGGCAGAGGTTGCAGGGGGACACAAGGAAATTCAAGGCTGTGAAGTCTGCCACGTTGTGATCATCTACTGGCTGTTGGAAGAGGAATGCTGTACTTATTATTTTATTTATTTACAGCCTCTTCATCCTGCCATTCAGCCAGAAATGACTCCTAGGGTAGCTTACAAAGATTAATTCTATGACAGTCCCTGCCCTCGGTTAAAAGGCATGACAGAAAAGGAACAGGGATTGAGAGGGAAGGTTTTGAAAAAGAGCATAACTCAGGCATCCGTTCTTATTTTCAGAGTTCTTTTTAGTGTCCTCCTGGCAGGGAAGGGAAAACAAGGTCCCCACAGTTGTTCTTTCTCTGGTGGATGTAAGAAGTCAGGTTAGTCTCCCATACAATGGGTGCAGCTCCCAGTGGTTTAAGGCTTAATGGGCTGGATTGGGACCATGGACAGCTCAGTTTGATTCCAACTACTATAATGCCTCCTTGGCCTTACCATACTCCCGGCCTGTCCATACTCATGCTTTCATGTTTCTTCTCAGTCTCCTGCATTGCTCGGTCCCTGAACCATTCTCCTGGGTCCTGTCCTGGCTTGAGGTTGCTCCTGTAGGCCCAGGTAGCCAAAGCTACTGAGATGCAGCTGTGATAAAATTTGAGCAATGGAACCCTCTCCTAATCCATGTCAAAACAGCTTCTTTTGCACCTTAAATATCAAGTTAAAGGCAGAATATCAACTATGCAAGTTCCGCAAAGGCAATGAAGGCAGTCCTTCTAAGTTAACTCTCACAGCTGTGACCTCTTCAAAGACCTGAAAGACTGAGATTTTCTGCAAAGTTTAGTGCAAGGGAAATAAGGCCTAAGCCATAGGTTTGTAGTGCTTGGGAACAAGACAAGTTTTGTTGGTGTGTGGAGAGCAGGGTCCTGGGCAGGTGCAGTTTTGCAGCCAAGCCCCCATCCTCAGTTACCATTGTTCAGTCCAGAGCAGAATGAAATGTGTTCTGAAAACTCCAGTGTACACCTCCCAAAGGTAGTGAGCTGACTGGTTCTGCTAGGATGTGGGGCACACAGCTACAGCCTGGTGTGGCCAACGTAACACTTTCCTTTCCTGTGGTGCTCTTAGGGTGCATGAAATACGACTCGTGAAAGCCGCTCATGCACTGTGTTTGGCATGCAGGTGACTGAAATGAGATGAACTGCCCCTTCTCTGCCCTGTTGTGTACCTGCCTCCCTGGCAAAACAGCAAGCGCTGTACAAAGGAAACAACAGTGCTTGCTACTCACTAACCCACAAATGGAAATCTTTCTAATGAGCTCACATGCAGACACACTACTCTAGCTAAACTATACTCTCAAAAGACCTTTAGAGGGAATTTTTTATTTTACCCTGCCAGTAGCACTTCTTCCCAGGACCCTTCCCCAGGCAAGCATGTCAACTTCCTTTCTGAAGCTCCTGGCTATGGTCTTGTCAGGGAACAGAGACCAGGTATAAAGTGCATGTGGAGCGAGGGACAAACAGGGCTGGCAACAGCAAGACGCATCCCAGGCAGCTGCCAAAGGGCCCTTGGGGCCTCTTTTCCAGTCCTCTGCTTGGCAGTTGTTGGCAGTGCCCCTTAGCAATCATGTACTGTGGCAGCCAGTCGGCAATCACTGGAGGAGTCCGGCTGTCATCTTCATCTGGCCTTGGCTAACTCTTCTCTCCTGCACTGGGGCACAAGTAAATAGAAGGAGGAAGAGAACCATCCAGAATCATGGGAGCAGAAGGGAGAGACCCACACTAGAATAAGGCAACTCTTAGGGCAGCCTTTCTCGACCTGGATGTTTTAGCAATGACTCCCAGTATTCCAGCCCATTGGCTATACTGGCTGGGGCCGATATGACTTGGAGTCCAAAATATAGCAAGGAGATGGACTCTGGCCTTCTGGCCCCTTCCAACTCTACTGTTCTATGATTCTGTATCTGAAGGGTGCCAGGTTGGAAATGGTTGCTCTAGGGCAGGGGCCAAACTCCATTTTTGGGAAGTTTCCAGGGTTGGATTCCAGTCATAGGCAGAGCTGGAAGCAAAAGCAGGAGAGACCAAAGGCAAATGCAGCAGGGCTCAGAAAACCCCAAACAACAGCCTGCTTTACCTTAATGCTGCTACTGCCAGCACCTAAGCATTAGGTGTGGCATGCCAGCTTCACAGAATGGAAAGGAAATGGGGGAAAGCACCCAACAATTAGTGGTTGTGCAAGAACGGGCAGGAGAAGCAGGCCTTCTGCTCCCTTGCTCTAAAGCAGCCTTCCCCAACCTTGTGCCTTCCAGACATGTTTGGACTGCAACACCCAGAATTCCCAGTCAAGATTCCCAGTCAATGACCCTGCTGGAGCTGCAGTCCAAATGCCTCTGAAGGCCACCAGGATTGGGAAGACTGCTCTGAAGAGTCTCATGCTATGTCTACACACTGAAACCAAAAATCTACCACAGAAAGAAAAACAGCACATGCGGTCCACATTCTGTCAGTCTTAGTACAAAGGACCATATTATCTTACTGT